CTACTTAAGGGCGACTATAACCCCAATATATAACCTATTATAATATAGTAGTTTCCGTTTTCTTTTCCATTATGCCTATATAACCCCAATACCCCTAACCCCATACCTACCCAACGCCTGCCCACGATTTCGTCCCGCTTCAGCCGCCTCCGGTTGCCCTTTGAGCCTTGAAGTGTGCGTCTCAGGGCAGCTTGCTCTAGGCTTGTTGATTTGGGAGTTTAGGGTTTAGGGGTTTAGGGTTTAGGGTTGTTTTTACACAGGGACCCTAGGTACCCTAGATTTGGGAGTTTGTGCACAGGGACCCTTGGGTTCATAGAGGTTTGTCGGGTTCATAGTGAAGTTGCAAGTGTCCCCCATTCAAGAAATGGATTAGATGGGGAGTTTTTTCAGGAATGCACGGTTGTAGGTATCCTGCACTCTCTTGCTACAGGGGTTTAAGCAGAGCTGTCAATGTTCCTTGCATAGATGCTTACGTACGTTGCCCAGACCCTAAGCCCAAACCCTAAACCCCCATTATCAGCCTACTTAACAGGGGTAGGGGTATGGTATGCTTACCCATGGTGCGTGGGGAGCGGGGGGTTGGGATTCCTCAAGTAGCCTGTACATAGTCCCCGATAATGTAGCGGTTCCCATCTTCGTTTAAATCGCACTCTCTAGACCCCTAAACCCTAAATCCCCAACCCTAAAGCCTAAAGCCTAAACCCAAAGCCCTACGTCCTAAACCATAAGCCCTCAATAGTAGTTGGCATTTTCTTTTCAGTTTTCCCATTCCACGGTCCGTCATACCAACCAGCAAGTGTGGTATGAGGCTCCGATCTTCAACTGGATGCGGAGCAAGTTTAAGCAAGCAGCCAGGAGCTCGGCTGTTCACAAGAGGATTTTGGTAACACAGTCCCTAGAATGAGGATCCAATAAAAGTTCGTATGCTAGTTATAAGGTCCTAATTTCCGGGGGTTCGAAGTTCGGGCTACCAAAAATTCTGTCCTTAGTTGCATCAGACTGCCCATTCAAAACCTGAGCGCAGACTTCACATCCAAGTGCTACCATACTCTTCCTAAGGCGGGGAGGTCCAAAGGAGAATCTAATTCAGGATTCCCACCCAGTACTCCGTCGCCCTAGCTAACTCCCAGCACTCTTGGATCCAGTTCGTTAAGTCCTAGGGGCTCAGGACCCCCCACTAGCTGGTTCCCCACTCCCCACCTAGACCCAAATAAAGAAGGAATATGGCCTACATAGCAGTGGGGTACCAGGTAAAGGGGGTTCCAAAGAGTTCCTAGGACTTAAGGACACCCTAAACCCTAAACCCTATTAAGGACACAGCAAAAGTACGCTTCATACGGTACTCGTTCTTTTGGCTGCATGGCAGGTCAAGGCACACCCATCTCTTCAGCCTGACAAGGACACCTCATGGTGAGGGGGTTTACATAGGGATTATAGGGTATAGATATTGGGGTTATAATGGGATAATAAAATGAAAGCTACTATTTAGGGTTTAGGGTTTAAGAAAGAGGTTTAGAGTGTAGGGATTAAGGTTGAGGGATTAGGGTTTAGGTCTTTGGGATTTTGAATTCCAAGGGGGTTGCAAGTACCCCCTCAACCTTATAATAACCCCCCCTCCCCACCTTCCTGATCATACATCCCCAACATAGTACCATTATATATTAGACGGTACATTCAGAGGTGGGTTTGGATAGGGGAACCAGCAACCCTCACAGGGGGCTTCCCTGGGTGTTTTCAGGGACCAGAATGGTGTTTTCAGGAACCAGAATGGTTCTGCCAGCTTCAGTGCACAACCCCAAAACCCTAAACCCCCAAACTCCTAAGCCCCTAAACCCTACACCACTAAACCACTACATCCCTGAATCCTAAAATCTAAGCCCTAAAGCGCTAAACGTCTAAACCCCTAAACCCTTATCCTTGAAACCAACACACCCAAACCCCTAAAACAGCTTAACCCCACAACCCGAAAACCCGAAACTCCTAGACTCAAGGCATAGGTTGCCAACTTACGATGGTGAGCGGTGCTTACCCCCCTCGCCCTGGATGGCTCCATAGTGGATTTTCAAGGCCACGAAGCCCCCAGCATCCCTTCAACAACGGCAGCAAAAACGATAAAGCTAGATTTGTGTCGTTGACCAAGATGGACGTGAATGAGTTTAGGTCCTAAACACTCACAGGTACAGGTTTGGGTGGTTTGGCCGCCTCAGACGGTGCATGATGGATGAATGTTTAGATGGACAGCTGGAGGCAGGCCATAGCGGCCTTTCAGATAAGATGATGCGCGCGTGCATGATCTCTCAAGCCTGGCAGCCTAACCATCACCGCCACCGCGCCATTTCACAGCAAACCCAAAACCCCTAAACCCCTAGACCCCTAGGCCGTAAACCCCTGAATCCTAAACCCTGAAACCCCTAAACCCTAAACTCTAAATCATCTTTGCCAGGAAGGCTTTCTGGAATTCTGCAAGTTTGCGGGTCTCCTACTTGAGTGAGCCCTTGCCGGCATGTGGCAATGCTTGATAGTATGAAGGAAGGTTAAGGGTTCAGGCTTCAGGGATTCCGAGACCTTTCCAGGCCCCCATGCGATTCCTACTCCTCCGGTATACAGCTGTTTGATCTGCATGAAGCTCTGAAGCAACCTGTCTTGTTGCAACGCTTGATGTTCAGGTACGAGACGCCTGAGGCTGATCGACGTCAAAGTTATGTGGCAATTCCTGAGGAGCTGGTTCTTTCAGACGAGTAGGCCGCTCCTTCCACGCCTACACCACCCACAGTCTAGTCTATCGTATCCTGGCTTGTAATAGACCAGTATGAGCAAGCAACTCAAAAATGAAGGCTATTCCAGCAGCTCTGAAGACCGCTCAGCGCTGGACCCACACAACACAACCCCTCTGTTTTGCCAATCAGAGAGCGTTGGTTCGTAACCTCTCAGCCAAAGACAATACATGTCGACTTCCCCGAACCCTAGACCGTAATCCTGCAGTGCGAACGGGCCCTGAGGCCGCTGTGTGCAAAGCAGCGTGTATCGATGCAGCGCGTGTATCGTGGGGATGACGTGGAAGAACTTACAGCTACTTCATTGTCAGGCTTCGTTGAAGATGCCAATGTGACTAAAAAGCTATTCCCCCAACGCTATGGCTGCGGAGATGCTTTGATAATGTTCGACCTAGCCTTGTGCGTTTATGGCAGGTCTTTCCAATTTGGCAGCAGGCATTCTTCCAAGAAGAATGACTTTTACTGCTGGGGCCGGGACCAGATTGCGTTACGCAAGTTGGGGGTGCTCTAGAACCAAAAAGGGGGCTCGGTTCATGACCACACTGATGGTACACTCAACCCCTAAAACCCTAAACCCCTAAAACCCTAAAACTCTAAGCCCCTAAAACCCTAAACCCTTAAAACCCTAAACCCTTGGTGGCCAATGAGACAATGTCTCTGCGGAAGCAGCGGAGTCCAAAGCCCAGCAGTAAGGGGCCGGGAGCGAGGTGTTTAGGGTTTAGGGTTTAGGGTGTGGAAGCAGAAGGAGAGCGTTTTCAACATACGGGTAGTTCCAAAAATTGGGGCTTAGGGTTGGTCCCAGTTTGGTAGCCCTAAGTATTAGGTGCCGTACTATAGTCTATAACCAAAAGGGCCCATGATTTTGAGAACAATCCATGCTCAACTTGATGGCTGCCATTACTGCAGACATAGCTGTTGCAGTTTGTACTTGGAACGTTTGGTTGCAGCTAATGCAATGGCTGTGTAATTTTTGCTGGCAGCGTGGCTGCGAGGACGATGTCCCTATCACGGTTGTTTTCTGTGTGCTAGTCTCGTCTGGACTAAAAGCAGAAGTGCTCTACTTGGCAACTAGAGTCATGGTATTGCATTGTTACTTCTCATTGATGAGGCCACGTCTGTTGTGGTCAGTGTTACTCCTCCTCCTCCTCCTCGTCCTGTTCCTCCTGCTTTTCCGCCTCGTTTGGGGCCTGCACGGGACCGAAAGTTGTTCTGCCGTCCGCCATGGAAGCATCATTGCATTACTTTTTTTTTTTAAAAAAAAAANNTTGTGTCTGTTTCAAGAACGAACAAAGGCGGAACGGTACGCATTCCTTCTGAGCTGTTGGAGCTTGATTTCTCAGTTCTGGCCAGGCTGTACGCTGTGAAGGTCAACGGGTGTTCGCAATGCGGGGCGTCGTGTGCTTGCTGCATTCGCTTCTCAAGACTGTCTCAAGTCATGGACGATCATGCATATTATATTTTTTTTTAAGTTTTTTGTGCTTGTTACTGGAAATTCGCTGTAAGGAGTCGCTTCAACGTGCATTGGAGAGTCGTACTAACATGGGCTTGAAAGCCTCGCTTGAGTGTAAGCCTGAACACCTTAGCTTTACCATAACCCAAATAACACTCCATTATAGTAGTTCCCATTCTTTTCATTATCCCTAATATAACCCCAATGTGGCCCATGGTAGTAGCTTCCATTTTCTGACTTCAGCGCATGGTCCTGGCAACTAAGCCAGAGGCCGACCCTGAGGCCTTGCACAGCAAGCTTACTGGGGCTTAGTAGGGAATAAGGGAATATACTATAGAGGGATAATGTAGGGATGCTATTCCTTTATTCCCTGCTAAGAAGCCGTAAGCCAGAGGACTTGATACCATAGGAAGTGCGGCAGGATGTGGAAGTTTCGAGGATTTCTTCCTGTATGCTCCTGTGGGGCCCGCGTTTCTGGGTCCTCTAAGGGGCAGCTGTGTTTTGAGAACAGTTTAGGGTATATAGGTTTAGGGTTTAGGGTTTAGGGTTCACTCTCCCATGTCTAGATTCCTTGTTTGATGGTACCCACATTTTCAGTAACTCGCTTGCCTGGTGGTGTTGGCTCAAGCCGCTGTCAGGCGTCGGACTCGCAGAAGAACACCTGCATTCTTTAAAGAGCTCAACAGGCAAGAGAAATTGTAGGTGGTACAGCCATAAAAAATGGCCTAAGCCTCCGAAGTAGACTTGTGAGCTCGCGCGCGTTTTCATTACCGCCAATGTACCGAAAGTTTGTGGCTTTTCAGGGCAGACACCCAGTGTTCGCAAGCGCGGCCACAGGCGGGGCAGTGATGAGCCTCGGTGATTCAGCCGTACAGCTGGCAGACAGTGGAACCTGGGATTGCCAACGGAACGCGGTGGTCAGCGCCTACAACGGAGGACGGGCTAGTCCTCCTATAGTAGGTGCCTTGAAGGAAGGGGGCTGCTCGGTCTGTTCCGGAATCGTATTTATCAACAAAGCACAAACCCATATTATTCTGTTCCGGGCACAGTAACAGATGAAAGCTTCGCGCGCAGACAGGCAAATTCGAGGCTGGCCTTTATAGACCAGATCCGTATTTCCATTGAATTTGCTTTTCCATTGGTTTCTCCATTGAGCCCTCTATAACGCCTATAAAGCGTGTTGCTCTTCTTCAGCCCTGTACCTGAAGCCCTCATAGCAGGTTCCAGGGTCTGATGATCACCAGGAATCCTGCTCTTCTTCTACTAGGGGTTAGTAGGGAATACGGGAATATAGTATATAGGGATTATATGGGTGGTTGTCAAAATTATGGTCCCTTTTTGGGTACCCTAAATATTAGGTGCCGCATTATAATAAGGATCCAAAAGCTGACCATAATTTTGACAACCACCCATATAGGGATTCTATTCCCTTATTCTCACAAGTAGTACGATGATCTCCAGGAATCTCGCCCTTCTTCTACTACTGGTGGCAGCGCCTGGATGCAATTTGGCCAGGAACTGGGGTGGCGGCAGTGGCGCGCAAAACCTTGACCAACCAAGTCATGGTGGCGCCGTTCAACAGCGCTTTGTTCCTGACCTGGAGCACAGCTATTGAGCCAGAGTCTTAGCACGGCTCATCATTTTCCACGCTAAGCCCTGAATGGGTTTCTGAACAGTATGATGTTGTGCTCTCCGGCAGTTTACATAAACTTTGTGCATGAGTGTGGCAGACAAGCACCTGTCAGGGGAGCCTGGATGGCTTAATTCGCTTTGTCACGTACTGCCGCGATGGGCACTCTGGTATGCCTAACCAAACCTCTCAACCTATTGATCTTCAAGATGATATGACTCCTATGAGGCCCGCATTGGTGGGGTATTTGCGTTACCAGCACGGTCCTATGAACTTGTTCAAATATTACCATGACTACTGTACTCAACAGGGTTGCCACGTTTACTCTTGGAGCTGCCTAGCTGTTACGGGAATGACGTATACGTATCCTTGTAGGTATACTGATGCCTGTCTCAACTTTACAGGCTTCACATGTTGATTCTGATGATGATCCATCAAAAGCTCTAGGCCCCAAACTCTACCCACCTCCTTCAACATGAGGATTTTGGTAACTCCGACCCCATCATGGGAGTCTCGCAGGATCCTTCCTGTAGGTGTTGGGGGAACCAACTCCTCCGATTAAATCCTGTTATTTCAACCTTCATATAACCACAGTTTCCGCTTAATTTTTCATTTTCTGCCTGTTCCTTTTGATTCATCATCATTGTCCTCAAAACCTTATACACCCCTACGTTAACGTCCCTTTGCAGGGACCCTAGAACAGTCTTCTTGCAGTTTAGAAATTTGGGTTTTGGGAACCCTCAACCCTAAACAGTAGTTTCCATTTTCTTTTCCATTATCCCTATGAAACCCAAATATTCCCCTTATAAACTACGGTCGTTTACCCTATAAAAGATAGTAGTTTCCATTTTCTTTTCCATTATCCCTATATAACCCCAATTTGTAAGGTCACTCCTGAAAGCCACGGACGAGACTAGTGATGGCAGTCTTTGTGCGCCTCCTGGCTCAGAGTACTGTAGACAGGTTTCGGGTTTAGGGTTAACCATAAACCTTAAACCCTAAACCCCTGACGCAAGGGAGACCACGAAAACATGGGGATCCTTCCTACAGAAGAGGAATCGATAGACCTTATACTAGTCCCTATATGGCAGTTTCCCAAAATAGGGGAACCCCAATATAGACCCTCATTTGCTACATAGTCCTGATATTGGGGACCTCCCCCCCTCCACCCCCCCAAAAAAAAGGGGGAAAAAATAAAATTTCAATTTTGGGAAGCCACCCTTACATAATACCTTCTCACTGTTAACGCCTAGTAGCCCCAGCGTAATGACCAAAACCTCGCTCACAGAATCCCAAATCCTTGAAGACTTCTCAGGGTTTATAGGGTCTACGGCTTAGGGTTTAGGGCAGGGCAAGACCACATTGAAAGAGGCCGACTAGAGTTGACTGAGATCCGGGAATATTTAAGTTTGTTTAACTTGAATTTAATCGAGTGCAGCTGAGGCAGAGTATTTGGGAGAAGGCCGCGGAGATGTGCTGTTATGGGCAGGGAGCATGCCGAACACGTCTGTTTGTGCTACAGGAAGATCATGGTCATGCGCGGATCATGTATTTGTACATACATATGTATGCACAGGCTTATTATTTGCAGGTGTTTGCATATAGCGAGCGGTCAAAACCCAGTTTGTGACCTGCCCACACTTTCGCTAGCCGCCAGACATGCCTGCAACTCTGGAAATATTTGGCGTAGTCAAATTATGATTATTGTTTCGTCCCCGCGAAGTTTTTTTGGCAGGCCCGCTAAAAAAGACAAGAATCTAGACACGCAGCCAGTAAGAAATCACGGTGCGGCCTGGAGGTCATGCTAAAGGCAAGAGCAGAAGTTCCGAATCTCGTGCTCTCGTCGTGTGGCTTCTGGCTGCCGGCAAATGCGTTCAACTTCATGATTCTTGGCTGACACATGCCGCGTTCCGGGTGCAAGATGTTTTCACAATCTTGGAACACACCGCCAGTATGAGCATAAGACCACGCAGATGTTCTATCTAGACTGTTGCTGGCAAGCCCCGTAGATTGAGCTGAGGTTTGTGCCCCTCCATCTTCGTGTCGTGTTCATGTCTTCCTGCGCCGTTGGTTGGGGCGCCTACATCAGCTATGTGGTGCACCGCTGACATGACGGAGGTGTTCAGTGCAAAGATCGTGGAATGCTGGAGATATTGCGCCGACTTCATACTCCATACCTTTTGCACCAGACATACTTTGATGCTTAGAGTACCCACACGCCGCCTGTACGAGCAGCTACGAAAATGCCTGAAGACCTTCAAGCCTGTCGGGAACTTGCGTGCTTTCGCTGGAGAAGTTCCAAACGATTTCCATGAATTTCAGCTGAGTCACTGCGCCACTCCTGAAATGACAGTAGCAACAGACGGTGCCATCAGCCCGGACAACGTGTTCAATGCGAAAGGGGGCGGCAACTCTTGTTTGCTTTTTTTCCTGCCAAAGCCACTTGGGGTGTGAAGGGCACTGAGTCCTGCCGGGAGCTGAGAGATCTAAAGTCTTCTGGAGACCTGACTGCCGCAGAGACGTTCTTCAATCAGTCCCAGCGAGATGTCCGATGCTGTGTGAGCTATAGTCTAAACTCCTAGTATCCCCATCAATATCACCTATAGTAGTCCCCTATATAATCCCATATATATATATACATATATATCCCCCATTTAAGGAGTTCAGACTATAACCCCTGTGGCGCAGTGATTTGCACTGAGCCCGGGTCCAGTGCTGAAAAGTCCGTGCGTGTGACTCAGGGTCAGACTTCAACTTGGGTCTTTTCGCGCACGGCTCTTGTTTGCAAAGTGAACATCATGCCCTGATGCAAGCGTGGCCTGCGTTCGCCTCAGCTGAAGGCGCTCCTTCTTGGATGCAAGCAGAAAACCTGTGGCAGACAGACTTCCACCGGCCTCGGTGTTGAGCAATACCTGTCGTCGACATGTAGTCTAGTCTACAAGGGAAGCTAGGCTTGTTTTCCAGACTTTGGGTCCTTGTTTAGGAGCTCCAAATTTCCGAGAACACCCAAATGATCAATAAACCCCCTTTCCTTAATTGGGATTGTGGGATTGTAACAGGGAGCCTGATGTTTAGGCCCTTTAAAGGAGGGGGTTTATTAGTCAGGGGTCTACATTAGCTGTGAATTCATCGTCTTGGCCAGGTGAACAATGTTCAACACGGGGGATGGCATGCTCGAGGACTTGGGATCTCTCAGGGCCCCTTCCCACTCTGGCGCGAAGCTGTATCGGAATGCTGTGGTGCGAAAACTTCGGCCCTCAGATGCCATGAGTTTAGATATTTGGAGACATTTGGAGACAATTGGCAGTTCTATGTAGTCTTATAAATACCATAACCTCGCAGTTTACGATGCCATCCTGATTACAACCCAGCCTGTTGCGATTACCCATGAGCCTCTGATTTGTAGACGTGCCCCGAACAAACAACAAACCAACGGCGGCCACATCAACTATGGCAGCAAACCTTGATACTGCACGACGCGCTAGCACGTTTGGATCAAACTGTTGTTGCTTCCATCCTTGTGATAGTTCTTGCGTCTAGTCCTTGGTACTGTGGTTCAGTAATGTCTGTCGACCCGAAACACTGTGTGGTCTCTCAACCCTGGACACCTATGCCTTGCCTAAAGCCTGGTAGAAAGCCGGGTGGACTTAGCACGTCTAAGTATATGTACTTATAACACCTTCGGGCCGCAGAATTTATTATCCCAGTTTCCCGGATTTTTAATCGGTAAACTGCTGAACCCTACACCTTAAATCCTGCGATCAAAACCCTCTACACCTTAAATCCTAAACTCTGAACCTTTAACCAGGAGAGGCTCCTCGACTTCCTCAGCGCCCCCGCGGCCATAGACTGGGAGCCCTCGTACTCCTTGCTGCGAGTTGTCGCTGCCTTTTCATGGTAACGCCTTGCTTGCAACATCTTGCAACATTATTTCAGCACCCTGCACCTCCTAATAGTACATCGGCCGTTTTAGAAATGCCATATAAGAGTATTAGAAAGCGTATATATCGGCATATACTTCATGCTTGGGGTGGAGGGTGTTTGACATGAGCAAGACGCGGTTATATGGGTTGATCAAGTGTGAGAAAGTACACAGGGCGTATATCGTGCTGCAGGGTTGAATGTTGAGGGTTAGCATCTAGATGGTTTGGAGATTTTCAATATGATTTGCGCTTAATAAGATTTCGGGGTAACAGCCGGCTCGAAGAGGGGTTGCAGGGTGTTGAGGAACCTTCTGGATTTGCACGGGGCTTATATACGGGGTTATGTAGGAAGTATGAAAAGACGATTCTCGGAGTGCAGGTCCTGAATTCCAACAGTCCCGTTGACGGCTAGTGCTGATGAATGCACGCAAACGTCTGTCGTGAGGGTTAGCTATGATCCAGTCGCTCACGGCCGGGGATCGTTCTGATTTGCAGCCATGACAGCCAAATTTTCATGACCCAAAGTTCTCACTTCCAAGAGCACCTTAAAAACAGTCCCTGCTTCAAGGACCCAAAGCCCCAGCCCAAAACCCGAAACCCTAGACCCTGAAACGTGCGTGGCACTGAAAGAGGGTGCGGCTCATGGGTGCTCCATTCTGGGCCGCGGCTGTGGTGCTTTGGCTCCAGTGCCAAGAAGGACAGCCTGAAATCATTGGTGGGATGCAGTGTCAGCATGGTCTGCCAGAGACAGCTGTTGATGAGACATGGGGCTTTCCCCAAGCCCTAAACCCTAAACCCTATGAAGCCCTAAACCAACATAGTAGTTTCCATTTTCTTTTCCATTATCCCAATATAAACCCTAATACATGTACCCTATAATCCCTATATTACCCCTATAATCCTTGTAGTTTCCATTTTATTTTCCATTATCCCAATAAACCTCAACCTCCTAAGCGCCCACCCTGAACCCTAAACCCCCAAGATGCCTGCAGGTTCTGCTCAGACGCTAGCAGCCGCAGGCCCGTCGAGCGCATGGGACTGGAGCTCAGCATCTATCGAAGTAAGTTACTGTAATAAGGCAACCCCGCCAAGTACTATACACCCATAATAATGGTGACTTAACCTAAGTTTCTGAACAGCAACCCAGTAATCCTACCCTGGCCTTAATCAGAATCTCCTAACCCTAAACCCTTAGCCCTGAGCCCTAAAACCTAAACCCCTCAACCCTAAGCCTTAAAGCCCTGAACCCTTAACCCCCCTCCCCCTCCCCCGCACCTTTTTTGGAACTTCTTGACTGAGGCGCAGGTCACGGGTACCATCCTTGAGGCGGACTTGGGGGGTTGCCCCAAATTGAGGGTTTCCCAAAATTAGGGGTACCTTTTTTGGGGGTCCCCATAATAAGGATTATAGTATATTGGGTTCTATATTGGGATCCCCCTATTTTGGGAAACTACCAATTAGGCTTTTGGGTTTAGGGTTTAGTTATGCAAGCTATCATTAAGGGTTTGGAAGTTAGGGGAGACGAGACTCCGTAGATTAATATGCAGGAAAATGGCCAGGTGTTTAGATTTGGAGTTCCAGTTCAGGGCGGGCTTGGGGCAGGTGTCCTCCGTTGGAGTGTCACCTTTTCAGGAAGGTGTGAAGTGGTTTGGGGTCACCGCTTCTTCGCCAAGTGCCAAGTGCCCGGTTGTAGTCAGGGAAGGCATCAAGTTCATGTGCTAGATCATGGTCGTGCCAAGGGGGGTGACGGAGCCCTGCGCAGCGGTTGGATCCTTTCATTGGAAACAGGTTTAGGGTTTCGGGTTTAGGGTCTGGCAAGCCCTTGCTGGGCCCCCGCTGCTACTTGATCCTGGACACCCTTAATGCTAAGCCCTGGGCCTATGGTCCCCCTTCAGTAGATAGAGCATGGGGTAGATGTGATCTTACTATAGTATACCCAAAGCCGTATTGTATTTACTCAAGGGGGACTACGGACTCTAAACCCTGAATCCTCAACCTAATCTTGGTTGGTCTTTAATCCCGCAGTATTTGGGGCTTTAATATCCCCAAGCCCTCCATAACGTATATTGTAGTTTCATGTTTCTTCCATACATAGGGCGCCCCCCAAGATAGACCCCAAACATAATCCTTATTCTTGGGGACAATCGCACCTCTAATTTGGGGAAACCCCACATAGAATCATAGAAGTTTCCATTGCCTAAGCCCTAAACCCTGAACCCTAAACCCCTAAACCCATAACTACTGAGCTAATGGCCAGGTTGGGAACACTCTGCTGGTCTCTTTCGGGCTCTCCGAGCTGCTCCTGCGGCAGCGCGGTGCTCAGTGTCAATTCCTTCTTGTTTAGGGTTAAGGGTGTAGGGTCTAGGGTATAGGGTTTAGGGTGTAGGGTCTAGGGTTCAGGCCTTAAGGGTTTAGAGCTTAGGGTAGGGTTTTTGGGGAGCATCTGGGCGATTTCCCAAATTTTGAAGGGTCCCTTTCAGTGAAGTCCCCATAAGGAGTCATGAGGACTAGAACAGTGTGGAGAATACAAGGAGCAACCTCATTTTTTGGACATGATGCCTATTATATGTAGATGATGATAGTTGAAGCTCCTAATTTGCAACTTGATATGGAGACAAGTCTGAGACCTTTTGTTCAGTTTAAATGTAAATTTATCAAGAATCACAGCATTGCATGATTGCTTCAAGAAGAAGATCTTCACAGCAGCGCCCGAATTTCCCACCCTAAACCCCAAACTAACCCTAGGCCCTTAGCAGCACTACTGTTGATACTAAAGATCCTGCATGACCTTAATATACTAATGTACCACAATTCACAATATATATATATATACATATTATAATGTACTTGGGCTCGTACAGGAGTTTTAGTATGCATCGTAGTTCAGTCTGTAAGCCTGCCTGCAGCCAATCGGCTGTCGACAAAGCCAGTTGCGACACTGGGCACCAGAAGTGAAAACATGCGCGCACACACACAACATGTATACATACATATATATATATAATACACAAACGAGACTATGCTCATAGAGCTTGATATTGACACTGTGCTCTCCATGGCATGGATTAGTTCGGCTCGTCTTTTACAGTCACCCTACCTGCGATATCATGACGGATGGCATTGTTGCTGACATTCTGACAGGCTCACACATCTGTAGTTGCACCAGGGATGTTCGGGAGCCATGGACGGCGACGCAGATTTCTTCGAAAAGTTCAAGGACGAGAGTTACGATGATTTCTTCACACGCGAGCAACCATCGCAACCTACCCAACAGGCACAGGCGGGGAAGTCTACCGTTATGTTCGGGGAATATTTGTTATGCCGGGGGTGAGGGCTGGTATTGCTAGGAGAACTACATGACATTGACAGGATGGCCCAACGTTCTTCGCGATCCACTCGGATGACGATGGCGTGGATGGTGCTGACGTAAGTGACGGCCCAGATGAGCAGGCTGCTCCGAGTTTGGTGCCGCAGCCCCCAGCTCCTGAGGCGCAGTTTAGCTCAGAAGACCTGCAGCTTTACCGCGCCTTGGGAGATTTCTACTTGCGGCTCAATGCGCAAAACCTTGCGAATGTGAACCGCATTGTGGAGCAATACCGTGGCAACAAGCTCACGCACCTCTTTGCGGCTTTGGCCACCAAGTATAATTTGCCACCGCCGGAGGTCATAGAGCTTGTAGCATCCTCATTATGCATTAGTTCCCCATTCGAGTTTCCTGTTGAAAGCTCCCAAAAGCTGGATGACCACCTGCAGCAACTGCGAGTTGCTGCTGGGCGCGGCATCGAGGATCCTGACCGCCGGGAGGAGTTGCTTGCCTCTGTTCTGGCTCCCACGGACGGTACTTCGGCTGCTGTGTCATCCTCCATGCTCCATGCGTTATGCTTAAGAGGCATCCCCAGCGCTCGCTTGAGACCGCATGCATGGAAAGTCCTGCTAGGTGTGTTACCACAGAATGCTGATACTACGCTGCAGACGGAGAAGCGGCGGCTGTACGAGAGCCACAAGCTGTGCTTTTTAGTCCCAGGCCGGGAGAAATTGGAGATCAAGGCGTCCGAGCGCCCATTGAGCGAGTCACTGGAGCTGCTTTCCCAGATTCAAAAAGACGTGCAGCGAACCCGCCAAGAGGAGGAGCTGTATCAGCAAACGGCGACGCGGAACGCGCTGATTTCTGCGCTGTTTGTGTATGCCCAGCTCAACAACGCAAGATATGTGCAGGGCATGAACGAGATTCTGGCAACCTTCTTCTATGTTTTTGCGACTGCTGGTGACGCTGACTTTGCGGAGCACGATGTCTCTTACCTGATCAGCGAGTAATCATTCACCCTCTTTGGGTAACATCAGCTGAACCACAAACCCAATTGTTGACACTGGAAAAGTGCTAGATACTGGACACCTAAGCTTTGGGCGGGTCTATGTAGGAGTTCTCAAGATAACCCTGTGAAGTCCATCAAGGGAACTCACAGAACCCCTATACATTCCACATCATATGAGATTATAGTCTAACTCCTAGTATCCAATTAAAAACCCCTAGAGTAGTCCCCTATTAGTATCCCCTATGTAACCTCCTTCGAGGAGTTTAGACCCTTGACCCCAAACCCTAAACCCTAAACCCTATATATAATTTTTTTAAATGTACATATATTCCCCTTCCCCCTGGGATCCTAGGGTCTTCCCTTGTCAACGAAGGCTTTCTGGTGCTTTAGCCACCTCATGCAGAACATGAAGCCAGGTCAGCATGAGGGTTAAGGAGGGCTTTAGGTTTTTAGGGTTTGGGTTTAGGGTTTAGGGTTTAGGGTTTGGGTTTAGGGTTTAGGGTTTAGGGCTTTAGGTTTTTAGGGTTTAGGGTTTCAAGTGTAGAGTTCAGGGTTTAGCTTTCTAGGGGTGTAGGCCCCAAACCCCTAAAAGTGGAGGGCTTTCGGATTTAGAATTTCTGAGCCCCAAATTGTCGTTTCCATTTTGTTTTCCATTATCCCTACATCATATCCCTACATCGATACATATATATATATCTCTCTCTCTCTCTCTCTCTCTCTCTCTCTCCCCCATGATATTGATAATAGGGTTGTCATCCCCTAAACCCTAAACCCTCCCTGCTTCAGAGGGCTCATGACTGATGACGGCTCAGTGGACGGCACTTACTCCCAAGTCGCTGGGTGGCTGTTAAGGAACTCCAATTTAAATTTACCCATGATATGGGTTTTGTAGTATTTAAAGGGTTTTTTCTTAGCAACCCTAAACCCTAAATCCTAAATCCTATATGTACCCTTATTATAGTAGCTTGACCTAATTTTCCTTACAGCAACCCAGGTTAGCTCCTTCGAGAATCTTCTCCGAAGCAGCCTGGCCTGACGTAGAACGAGAGTTCCGGGTAGGGTGCTGGGATATTTGGGAGTTTCCGAAAATTAGGGATACCTTTTTGGGGTCCCCATAATAAGGATTATAGTATTTTGGGGTCTATATTGGGGTCCCCCTATTTTGAGAAACTATCATTTAACAATCTCCCTATTGGCTTTAATCAGGGACCCTATATACTAACATTTTTCAGAGGGTTTTTAGGGGCCAACCCAGAGTTGCAAACGGTTTTCTGATCTTCTGCGGAGTCTTTGGGTTGTTCCCTATAGCCCAGTCTCCCATTGCCCGCTATCCACCCTACATCCCAAAGCCGAAATTCTATGGAGCTGTTTCTTTCCCACTAAGTGCCATATCCTCCACACTATAGTAGTTACCAGTTTTTCTACTCCCTTCTAACCAATATCCCCAATATAACCCCTATACTCCTTATATAAACCCTATGTAACCCCGATACTCCCTTGTAGTTTCCATTTTCTTTTCCATTATCCCAATATAGCCAAAAAGCCAATCCTAGACACCATGATAGTTTCCATTTTCTTTTCCATTATCCCAATACTACCCCTATATAACCCCAATGTATACCGTATCATTTCCCTTCTAACCGCCAGCCAAGAATATGACCCGGATCTTGCACGTCATCTTGTGCAGCATGGCTCTCCTCACTTCGCAGTAGCCTTCCGGTGGTGTGCGGGGCTTTTTGCGTAGCGCGGTTGCAGTCAGGAAAGCTGGTTCTTCTGCTTATTGTGGCTCTGAGGTATGATATGTTATACTTCTGTATAAGGATTGTTAGGGAAAATAGTTGGTGATGTTTCCGGCTTCTACATTGTGTTAACTTTTCCGGGAGGCCACTAAGCTGCCCAAACATACTGTAGCTCCAAGGGCACAGTGTTGAATAGGGTGGTGCAAGACTTCAATTTTCCCACATCCACCATAGGGTTTAGGGTTTAGGGTTTAGGGTAACATAGCTCGGGCTCTATTGCCTTGCTGCACTTCTGGGGTTCATGGTTCCGGGTTCGGGGGTTTTAGGTCCTGGTGCTCAGGGACTTGAATTTAGGGTCCAGCAGATGATCCTGAAGCTGTCATGCCCCCAATATAATCCCAATATAACCTTAATATAAACCTAATATAAACCGAATATAAACCTGATATTACCCCCTAGAACCCCAATAGTTAGCTTAGGAGGTTCCCATTTCCCAGCAGAGAAGTAAGAATTTTAAATTGTAGGAGGCTCTATAAGAAGCCTTGCGCTTTGCCTCCTGTATCACGCGAGGTTGCTCAATACTTTGTTAGTTTTGGGGGTTCCCAACATTCTCACCTTGTTGTGGTAGGGAGCATGCATCTCCTGCTTCGGTTGCAGGCAGGATGCAAGCCTGCAAGACCTGCTTCAACTGTGGGACTCCTTCATCGGTGACCCTATGGGCTATGAGCTGGTGGTGTACACTTGTTTAGCATCCCTCATGGCCTGCCGTGCCCTTGCTGCACTGCCAACCCCATATAGATCCCCTTCAAAAAGTGCTTATTGGGCCCTGTTTGGGGTTGTTCACCGTAAGCCCTAAACCCTAAACCCTAAATCCGTGAAACTTCGCAGTATCTCCCAGTTGATGGGGTAAGTTGCTGGCCCATTAGCCTATGTTTCTCTGCCTTGGCCACCTTGATTGTTGCGCCTGGACTCAGGCGAAGACTTGCTGGCATCAGATGATGAGTTCCTTGGATAGATTCCACATTTTTGAACCCCCGCCCGCACAATCGTGTCAGGTTCCAGTTGGCAGAAATAATGCGCGGAGCACCGCGAAGGGATGTCAAGCAGCTGCAGAGGCATGGTTTAGGGTTTCGGATGCAGGGTGCACCTACCTCGAGTGGGTGGTATTCTACATGGGGATGCTTCTTCCCCATCTATCCTCCTTTCGGGTATAGTTTGGCCTGGTTCAATCACCAAATAACCAAACTACCTGCTGAAATGGGGGGGGTGCCGGAAAGTCTGGGCCCTTCTCTTGGGGTCGCTGAAGGCGGATCATATCAGTTGGCCCCTGAAGGCGGATCATATCAGTTGGCCTCTGAGGATGTTGCATGAACCTTATGTTTGAGGCATACGCAAGTTACCATTGCATTGGCAAGTGTAAAAAGTGTAGCTGCTGGGAAGCTTTGTTCAGCAGAACCTTGCATGGTTCAAATGCTACAATCTACCCCAAGCCCTGCTGGCATTCTTGAAGCGTTTACATTATTTGAGCACCCGGCATTCGGGATGAAGAAGCATTTTGCTTTTGTGAATGGCTGAACAGATTCCCGCGCAGGCGGTCATGGGCCATTTGCGCACTTGAACGTCGAGAGTGACTCGGTGTGAGATGGTGTGAGAGGTGCAGTTGTGTAGATCGTACATGACTGCTCCATATGGTAGGCTACAAAAACTACAGGGGCCCCCTTATATATTGCAAGATATCAGCTTCCCTTTTTTGGGAACCCTGCTAGCAACGTCCATGATTTGCATCCCCAGCTGTTTAAGGGTGTTTTGCAAGATATTTGCCAACAAAACATATCAAAGCGCCAACAGCGCCCTACAACACATTTCTGTCATTTGAAATGGCATCATATCAGCTTCCATGTTTGGGGTACCTGGAGGACGCGTGTCCTTTGTCTGGGTCCTTGCAACTAAACGCTTCACCCTAGTTTTTGCACGCACGCCCCCTTCTTAATGTTAATCGTGAACGCCAACGTTTTTGATAAAGTCTGACTGCAATGGGAAATATTCGACATCTCAACTGGCAGAGAGAATATGCAAAGATTGAGTTTTACAAACATTCGCCTGCATAATGGTATGGGGGCCGCATAATCCCTTCACAATATTCTCAAATCAAATGCTCCCTACAGTAAAGTGCCTAAGCTCCAGTCCCTACAACCTCAGGACCTAAACCCTAAATCCCAACCCCCTGGATCCTAAACCTAAGCCCCGACTCCCTAGGCCCTAAATCCTCTGAGCAAGTTCTCTTGCAGGTCGGCAAAAAAACCCAAGCTATATGGGTTTCCAAAAAATAGAAGTACTTGTGTAGGGACCTCTACACGAAGGATTATCCTATTTTGGGTCTATATTGGGGTCCCATTGCGTATGGAAACTACCAAGCCCAGGTGATATCCTATAGCGTCTTGCATTCAGTGTTCGGAATAACACTAGCGTTTCGTAACATTCTTACCTCGAAGCCCCAAACGCTAAACAGTATATCCTTACATAATCCCTATACCCCCCCTTGAAGGGACCCTGCAAACAACAGTAATGAGTTTGATTTGATTGACCACTACACTAAACGCTAAGACTTAGAGCGTTAAGCCTCAAACTCTAAATGGCCCTAAACCCTGACACCCTGCTAATCCCTAAATCCCTAAACCCTGATCCCTAGACCCTACACCCAAATCCCCAAACCCTAAACCCTAGACCATACACCCAGCAAAACTTGTGACCAGCTTGCCCAAGGCAGACTCCACCATTTCCAGCCCGATCGGTCGCCCAAGTGGTGGAGCAGTCGCGGCCTCAAGGGCTTAGGGTTTGGCTTAAGGCTTAGGATTTAGGGTTTAGGGATCATAGGCCTACATGGGGTTATTCAGGGATTTGGAGGGATAATAGTTAGGATAGGAATGCATGCCCACATATGGGGTTGAGCCAAACTGAAAAGGACAGAGAAGGAGACATGCAAACTTGGTTTATATATGGGCTACACAGGGGTGAGGGCCAGGCGTTGAGGGGTCCGAGGAAGGCTTCAGGGTTGACCATTTAGGGTCTAGGAGTTTGGGTACAGTTGGGGGTGCGGCGTTTCGCAGGGCTTGCGCTTCAGGTTTAAACGTCATGGGCCCGCGTGAGTAGAATGGGAGCTGGTATTGAGCAACACTGGATTGCTGCTAAGGAACTTAAAGTAAGTTACCACAAGATGGGTATATAGTAAGTAGTAGCAGTTCCTTGTAGTAACTGAGAATACTTCCCTAGCCTCGCTGCAAGAATCAGGTCTCCCTAGCAAAAGCGCAAAATAAAATATTGCAAAAAGATGCTGACGGTATTAAGGCCTGCCCTGCAGCTTTTTTCCCATCCTTATACAAGCCCAACACTATCCGCGGACTCCCTAGGCTCCTGGCACTATCCTGCTACGATGTCTAGACTATCGTAGTAACGACGGTGGATGGAGGAAATCATGCGCCTTTAGGACCAGAATTGTTGTAGCTATGGGGGGAGGGAGAATATTAGCTGATGCAAGATTGCCTCCATCCACAGCATGTCCGGTTCCCTGAACACTCCCGATACTATCCGTACACTAGCCTGCTATCAGTATACAATCCGTGGACTACCCATTTAGCCTGAATTCCCGGATCTTCCCTATAATGGCCCTAAATCCTACACCCTAAAAAAAAGCCCCAAACCCTAAACCCCAAAGCCTTAAACCCTAAACCCTAAAGCCTTAAACCACAAACCCTCAAGCCTGCTCAGGATCGCGGGCTGGGCACAGGGAGCCGCCTCGAAGGCCCAAAACTTCATGCCTGCCACTTGGTAGCTTCTAGTCCCCTTAACCACATAGAATATGGCTTTGGGTATATTATAATACGATCCCCCTATACACCATGTTCTATCTACTTCAGGGGACTATAGTCGGGTTTTGAATTTAGGGCTTAGGGTTGAAGGTCTAGGGTTTAGAAGAAGGGGTCTAGAATTAGAGGTTTTGGGTTTAACTTTTAGGGTTTCGAAGAAGGGTCTAGAATTAGGGGTTTAGGGTTTAAGGTTTAGGGTTTTTGGGTTTGGGCTTACGATTTAGGGTTGAGGCTTCCCCTATTACCTCCCCAACAACATTAGAAGTATTCCTATTCTTGTCAGGACAATGCTTAGGTGCACTATTATTGTTGTTATTAACCTAAAGAAACCATACACCCGAGACCGTAAAAAATCCCTAAGCCCTAAACCCTCATCCCTAAGTCTGCACCCCAATTCCCAAACCTTAATCCCTAACCCCTAATCCCAGGCCCTAACCCCTCAATCCGAAACCCTCATTCTAGAGACTATTCTCGTGGTCTCCCTACCACCCTAGGTTCCCCCTCAATTCGGAAGGATTAAGCCAGATTCAGGCGGAACTACGCGGAACCTGGGGGGGGTTAGGAGAACAAGTTAAAATCTTTGGATTAAAAGTGTGGGGTCTAGGGTTTACTAGGAGGGCTTCGGGCCTTTTAGACTGCGGGGCATCCAGGGTTGGGGGTTTTGGTTTGGGGTTTAAGGCCCGGGGTTAGGGGTCCAGTAGGGATCGTTCTTGAGATTTTTGCCTGAGGAGTTCCCATAGGTTGTGCTTGCACCGTCGCACCCTCATTTCGGAATCTCTCCACTTGCATCTCCTTTTCCGAGCTATTTGGTGATCTGTGGTTTCACCAAGAACTGGACCTGCCCTGCGCCCTAAACCACTAAACCCTAAACCCCTAAACAAATATCACTAAACCCCCAACTCCCTAAACCCTAAACAAAGATCCATAACTTTGAGAGACCCCCAGTACAACTTCGCAGCTTCATACTTCATCTCCTATGGCAGAAGGCCTGAACCTCCCATCATACCCTAACCTCTGAGAGCCTAAATCTGGTTTCGGGCAGTTGAAAAACCTTAGGGCTTGGGGTTTAGGGATTAGGGTTTAGGGTATAGGGATTAGGGCTTAAAGCTCAGGGTTTAGGGGTTTAGGGTTTAGGGATGCTGAGAACGATCAGCTTATAAGCAGACTGTAACCTATAGGCTCATACTGTATGCCTCTGTAGCTACCATTCCAGCCTACACCCTTGCTTCGGAATTCTTCCTAAGTCCTAAACCCTCGAATCCGAAGCCCTAAACTTTTAACCCTGAACCCTTAACCCTAAACCTAAAGCAATATGAAAACCACACATTTACCATTATTCTGGGACTACAGTATACGTTATGTATCCCCATACTGTAGTCTCAACGCTTCCAAGATGTGAGGTTGTCAAAGACAAGGCGAGTCGTGCTTCGGCGGCTGCCAAGGAGGCATCCAAGGAGAAGGCCGGGGAACCTGGGATTATGCAGGGGTATATTCGGGTTATATTGGGGCTATATTGAGATTATAGGGGGATTATATGGGGATTATATAGGGATTATATTGGGATTATATTGGGATCATATTGGGACTATATAGGGATTATATAGGGCTTCGGGTTTGTGCTTCAGGGTCTCGGGTTCTAGGATTTCGGGCTGAAGGCTGTTCGTGGAGAAGAGCTTACACAACGCAGGGTGCCGAAACTAGTTGTAATTCCCGACAATTTTGGGAATTACTTTGGATACAGTACAATATTACAGCCTCACTGACTGCAGGAATAGGAATGATAGCTATTATATTTTTGCTGCTGCAGACATGGTAGTGGTGGAAAAGTAGCCATGTACAGCCGACGAGCTAGCTTAGATGGCATGTGTGCAAGGTGCAAGCGGTGCAGAACTGGTTGGAAACCACACCGGTCCGTCAAGAAGTTTTCGATAAGGCTCAGACGAGGCCCGATTCCCACTTGCCTTTGTTTGAGGGTTCATGGCTCTAATAAGATCTATGGGAAAACTCTGTGGTCTTGGTTATTCAGTCTGACGCCATGCCTAAACCCAAAAACTTAAGCCACAAGCACTATCTGGTGCCTGGCACTTCTAGCTTACCAGGTTTTCCGCCCTGGTCCAAGCGACGGGTGCGGTTGCCAGCAAAGCTGCGCAGAAGTTCGTGGAGACCATGTGAACACTATGAGTGTGGGTCTCCTCCCACTGGACCAGGACAACATGAGCCTGGTGTTGGTTGCAGAGCTTGACGCAAAGGACTCGCTTGCAGGTTTCCCAGCAGCTGGTGCAGGGTGTTGACCACCTGCACAGCTGCGACATGCGCCTGCAGAAGGCTAGTAGGTTCCTCGAATCGCGTGGATGTCATGCGAAGAAAACGCCGTCTGCGGGGAAGCGAAGTCTTGATTAAGTGCATTTGCATGTGGCATGCATTCCGGAAATGCGTTTGTCTAAGGCGTCGGCTGAAGGATCTCCAACTGCTTTTCGTGGCCTTTCTTGCAATCAATGTCAGCTCCCGAGCTACCGGAGCAACACCGCAGCGTTGAGGACATTGCTTTCTGCTTGATGTCCCTGGCAAGCAGGTGGTGCTGTCACCCCGCGTGCAGTCTCTGTACGGCTCCTTGCGAGACAGTTGGCACGCGAGCCCAGACAAGCCAGATGAGCCGTTTGCTCCAGGTGCTTCTTAGAAAGTTTCCTATCGTCGTAATGGAGAAACAAACGGACTAGAATATGGAAAACAAAACGGAAGCTACTTTAGGTTTTTGGGTCTAGGATTTGGGGTTCTTTAGGGGCTTAGGAAGAATGGATAATCAAGTTGACAAGGAATGGACAATTAGCTGGACCACATGGTTGCTTTGTTATTAGGGTTGATACCAAAATTCGTGCCTGCTAATCCTAAGCAATTTATACTTAGGGAAGTATGGTATGATGGTGTACAAAGGTCATGCAAGATTTTCAGTATCAGCAGTATTAGGGATGAATAGCGCCAACCCCTGGAGGTAATTCCAGCCAGATGCAAGACATCCAGGTGCTCCAGGACAGTTGGAAGCATGTGGTGTGGATGCGAAGTTCAATTGGGGTATATTGGGGTGCTCGTCTTTGAACCGACAGAACAAGCTGTTGATGGTGATGAGCGCGAGACTAGTCTCTACTTGTATAGCTGAAGAGCGTTGATGTCAGGAGTTCTATTGTTAAGTATGACGGTGATAACATACTCCTGCTCATGAATCGCCCGACAGTACATACCTTCTTCCCAGGCTGGTACACGTGTCCCAATATCTTCAGGTCAGTATCATGATGCGGGTCCGTCGCCACATCGAGTTACCCCATAATCTTAAACCCTTAGCCCCAAATCCTAAAACACAAGGCCAAGCCCCCAACCCCAGATCCTCAACTCATCTACCCACCCTAATCTTAAAGCCCAAACCTCAAACCTGAACCCCTACCCATGTAGCTTCTATTTCAGGCGTCAGAGCCCTCGCAGCTGACGCCGGCTGTGCATTTCTTGCTGCGCGCCACTGCAGTTCTCACAGGTGCCAGTGTGTGCGTGAGAGTTGGAAGAACTTGCCAAAATCTAAATCCACATGCGCAAATTGGTCCGAAAATGCGGCCCTACATGCGGAAATGGAACCAAAATGTCAGGGATTATTATGAGTTTGTTTCTTATTCCTAGTGTTGTCAGTGCCATTCTCTTTGGTTTTTTGGTATTGTTAGTATTGTTGTTGCGACTACAAGTAGTATTGCTAGTATAACCCTTCCAGGTCTGTTAGTCTCAATGCGTATGGCCTAGCTCAAGCAGACGGGTCTATGAGGCTTTTGGGGTTAAGGGTTTAGGGTTGAGGGTTTAAGGTGTAGGATTTAGGGTCCCGCTAATTTTAGGGTCCCTATCATAAGGATTCAAGGAATTCGGGGTCTGCATTGGGGTCCTCCTTTTTGCGGAAGCTGCCATTTTGGGGACTAGGACGTATCTCTTCTTTTGCATGTTGGAGCACGAAGTCTCAATTCGTTACAATTGGATTATGAGTTCCCTGAACCCTAGATACCCCTACATACCCTACAAACCTTGTACAAGCGTAAGCTCCATAATAGAGCTCTGTATAATCCTATTTAAGCTGTCATAGTAGAACCCCACATAACCCCATTACCCTAAGCCGTAGACACACCTATGCATCCCCATCAGCCCTGTGTAATGTAAACCTCAGATTCATAAACCCCCTCCTTTTAAGGGCCTGAATACTAGGATCCCTGTTATAATCCCTATTAAGGCTAGGGGGTTTATTAATCAAGGGTCTGGGTTAAGCTTCGCCAGGGTTTGCAGCCCTTGTTTTTGCTGACCTGCGCCGCTTCCGGCCGCCTCTTGGTGCGCCATAGAGAATGGCATGAGGGTTTAGGGATTGGGGTTTAGGGTTTAAGGTTTTGGTTTCAGGGATTAGGGATCAGGATTTAGGGTTTACTGTTTAGGGATTCGGGTTTAGGGATTCGGGTTTAGGGATTAGGGTTTAGGGATTAGGGTTTGGGGTTTAGGGATTAGGGTTTGGGCTTCAGGGTCTCTTGTGATTCCCAAAGCTACGTAGGGAAGGGTCCAGATACTATCCTGTAGTTCCTTGTAAGTACTGTAAGTACCTGCATGGAGAACACTAGCATTTCGTAGTATGGTCTCTTGAGATTCATGTCTGGTCTGTTTACCCTGATACGTGCTTTACCGGTACCGCACACCTTGTGCCTTGGCTAGGTTCAGCATTCTTTAGTGGGAGGCATTGACAGGAGAAGATATTCGCAAGTGCTATGCGAGAGCCATTGCCGGACTGCCAATCATTTTGCTGCGCCCGAAGCACGCAGCGCTTCTTCATGTTCGGTACTGATGGACGGGATTTCAGGCTCACGAAATGAACCAAGACACGCTGGAGGAAAAAGCGAAGCATTCTTGTAAGTTGTAAGCACTACAAGCTGCATAAAACCCTTGCTGCATGCACCGAACACCCTAATCCCGCAAAATTCTCGTATGCGTTCTTATCACAGTCCATGTTGCCGCTTACAGCCTCTCAACCCTCCCACCAGACCCCTCTTCAAAAGCAATGCCAAGGAGCAACCGCGTAGACCCTCTAGGACCAGTGCACCTAAAGCTCTGTAAGATTCATAAAGCCGAACACACTCCATAAGCCCTCTAATGCCTAAAAGCCTGATCTCCACAAATGAAGTGTAGTCTACACTCCGCCACTCCCGAAAGGCTGGTTATGTAGGGGATTCTACAGGGCACCATTTTAGGCCTTATTAAGGGGGATGCTAGGAGTCTAGACTATGGCTCATATATTCTCCCCAAAAGCTAAGGGAACCATATGGACCCCTTTCCAAACATCCCTATATGAGCTATAGTCTAAACTCCTAGTATCCCTGAACCTGAAACCCTTATCAGAGTTCCCTAAGCCCTAAACCCTAAACCCTAAAGCCTAAACCCTAAACCCCTATAAGAGTTCCCTGTTTAATCCCCTCTAAGGAAGGCTTACGGGCCTGTCGCCTTCTTGGGTGAGCTTTGGGCAGCCATAACCCTGGTTCTGCCAGTTGCTGGGCTTGATGTCAAGGATAATAGTAGGAACTATAGTAACAAAAATGACAGCAATAATAGCCATAACAGTAATAACAGTAACAATAGTAATACTAGTAATAATAGTAGCAATGATAGTCATAGTAGTACTAATAGCGAGAGTAGTGCTACTACTAGTAGTAGGCGTCAAAATAGTTATAACAGTAGTAATAGCAGGAATGGTAGTAATAGTAGCAATAGTAGTAATAGTAGCAATAGTAGTAATAGTAGTAATAGTAGTAATAGTAGTAATAGTAGTAATAGTCGAGGGTTTTGGCTTTAGGGCTTGGTGGCTTAGGTTAAGGTTCTACGGTTCAGAATTTAGGGTTATGCCTTTGCCTCCTCACTTTCCGAACATTCACCGCCTCATCATATATTCAACCGTTCCTGATAGATCCCAATCAGAACCACCTGTGAAATGCCTACCCTCAAAGGGCAGAGCAGCGAGTCGAGACGTTGAATTTGCGAATTGGGGATTTGTGACTTCCGTTGGACGTGTCAGGTGGGATTTCATGGTTGCACCACTTAACTTGTATTCCTGCGCTTAGGGATCCTTTTAAGGAAGCAGGAATTACATTGTCCTGTGTAAGGGTTATCTTGGGGCCATCTTGGGAGAACTTTTATGGTAGGGTGCGACCTTCGGGGTACAAGCCTGGAACCGCTGATATCTGGACATCCACAACAGCGGCATGGCCTGGCAGATGTTGCCTTCCTCGCTCGCTTGATGTGGTTTCCTGCAGGTGAATGCAGGGCTTAATTTGCCCCTAAACCCTAAACCCTATACGTATCATGTGACTATAAGGGGGTGTTGGGGCTACCAAGATCCTCCTGTTGTTGGGTATGCTGCTTGAAAGCTAGCAAGCACTCAAGCCCAAGCCCAAAGTGTTCGTAACATCAACAAAATGGCTGCCTGCCGTCATGGCTCAACATGCTAGCATGGCTGTGCAGCCTTACAAAAAGGCTTGCGGTCTCCTGGCCTGTATCCTCCTGTCGCGCGTAGTCCAATTTCAATCGCCACTCCTTTCGGCCATGGCCGTGCCACAGATCTTCAAGCGAGCTCGCTGCAACACGGTCAAATACGAGTTCTGGCCATCCGACTTGCAGCGTGCAGGGCACACATCTGTTTCCGTGCAGAGTGATGAGCCGCTTGGAGAGCACCTGGCAAAGACTGGACGACATGAGGTTTACGGGATTCACATGGCGCGCATGCAGAAGCTGCCTTGCAAACTAGTGCCAACTTCCAAGTTTCGGAACGGGGCTGAGAGATGGTGGTGCCCCATTCACCAGGGCAGCTACGGTAAGAAGGCTCAGGTTCTCAAAGCAGGGAAGACAGGCGTCAAGTGCTGTGATCACAGTGATGCTTTGGTGGACTTCGTACGATCCGAAGAGGTGCTGGACCTGAGGCTGGGGGGATTCCCAAAATTAGGGGGTACTATTTCAGGGGTTGTAATAATAGCAATAACAATAGTAACTACTCATAATAATGATGCTAATAATAATAACAATAATAAGGACTATAGTATTGTGGGGCCTGAGGCTGGTAGCGCACGGCGGGGTGCTGGAAGCCAACGACTATGTTGAGCTTGGAATTTGGATCGGCT